ACTGAGAGAACAGTGTTAATTGTGAAACATTGATTTCTATCTCTCATTTGTTTATTAAATACAAGAGAATCACTAATAGAGTTTATAAAAGATAGTCTAGTAGCTATTATCTTTTCTAAAATCTTTCTCAGACAGTTCAATAGAGATATCACTCTATATAACTTAAGAATTGAAGCTTTTCTCTTAGGTTTTACAAGAATCACTTCAGTGACCTCTCTTCAGCATTCAGAATGATATCTATTTTTCAAGAGATTAAAAAAGAGCTCAAAATATTCATTCATTAAGTAGAAGTATGTATTTTAAATGATCAAGTGATTGATTAAATCAGGCTCTGCAGCAGCTTTAACTGAACTTGTGAAGATAGCTGACTCTAATTCATCTTGTATAAGCTCAGATCATTCTCAGTCATTTTCATCAATATAGTTGTGAAGTGATATATTCTCTTTCTCTAAATCTGAATCTGATAAGTTTTGAAATAGAATTCTCATGAAATCTTGACATTTTTTCTCAAAAGAATTTACTGTATATGATTCATTCTGAAACTCATATTCTAAGTCTGAAAGATTTGCTACACTTCTTATTTTAGTATAGTTAAAAGCTTTAAAAACTTTCTTTTCTTGTGCTTCTTCAAGAAATTTGTTTCAGCAGTCTGTTTTAGCTCTCTTAATATCTGAAAAATATTCATTTCTGACAGCTTTGAACTCTTTATCAGATATTATATCATTCTTTCAATCTCTTCTAGCAGTAGCTAATTGTTTTCTTTTAGATGTGATATTCTCATTTCATCAATGTTTGAAATACTTAGAAGACTTTTTCTTTGAAATATTGTCTCTAATACATGTCAGAATAATAGATGTAATGAGCTTTACTCTATTCTCAAGCATTTTATTTGAGATATCTTGACCAGGATTTCAATATAGCTCACTCTGCTTTTCAGATTTTAACAATTTTATACTTTCTTTAACTGCTTTTCAATCAGCTTTTTCAAAGTTAAACTGATTAGAGAGAAGAGGATTTTCACTCATTTGTTTTTCACTCAGTTCAATATTAAATTGAATAATCTCATGATCTCATTCTAAGGTCTCATTTGAATCAATAAATCAGTTTACAAGTCTTTTTTCAATTAGATTTTGTGACATGAAGATTAGATCTATAATAGATTTCTGTTTCATGCCTTTTCTAAAGAATGTTTGTTGATCAGACTTGTTAACTAGATCTATTAAATGCTCAAAGGTTCATTCAACTAGATTATCTGCTCTTATCACTTCTTTACATTCTGAATTTCATCAGAGATGATGTGCATTGAAATTCTCTACAATTATAGAGTTTCTTAATGAAGTTATGTTCAGAAATCCTCTATTAATTGTTCAGATATAGTTATTTTTCTTCAATGACTTTTCATTATAAATATTTATGAGCTGTATAGTATCAAACACATTCTCTTTATCTATAATATCACTCACCAGAATATCAGAGTGAGATATAATATCAAATCTTAGATTAAATTGATATCTTGATCTCTTTCTTTCATAGATCACTACTCTTGAGACACTCTTCAATGATTCTTCAACTCTGATTCTAGATGCTGTATATTAACTTTATGGTATATCTGAAGATTGAACTGAAGACATGATTAGACTGGCCGCTAGAACCATGAATTTCATGTTTGATCTCATTTAGTCTGGTCTTATACATTTCTTAGTGTGAATCCCGCTGGGACTAGTCATTAAAAAAACATGCAAAATGGCTATATATCAGATCTTACAATGAAACCATGACTTGAAAAAAGTAAGAAAGTGATCTTATTTGGTTTCATTTAGTTCTATTCTTGGCATAAAGTTACTATTGTTAAACATTTTAAGGTTTTTTTTAGACTATTTTTAATTTTTTAAAAAGTAACACTTTTTGATAATGCTCAAATGAGATTTAAAGTCATTTAAAGTAATAAAAATAATTTAAATAGAGAAGTGAAAATCATGATCTCATTTGAAAAATGTGATAAGAGTAGACAGTAAGTCTCACTGAAACAGTATGAAACTACTATCTAATGTTAAAACTGTGTAATGAGATCAGTCGAATTGATAATGAAACTATCAAAAATTCTGGTCCTGGTCTCAGACACGGTCACACGGTCAGTCTAGACATGATTGATATGAAATATAAAGATTTCAATTAAGTATTTGAAGAAGTGTTTAGAATTCAGAGTTTTTAATTGATTAAAGAGAACAATTCAGAGATATACATATACATAGTAATTATTCACAGAAGTTATCAAATGAGAGTTATGAAATCAGAGTACTGATACATGATTATTTTCTCATGATTTTCTTCAAATTAGAAAGTTAGTATTATCAAAAATTATTATCTGATAGAGTAACTTATCAGCTCAGTAGTAATTTTCTTATTATTTTTCTTTTATTATCTGCATTCTGATGACTTCAGATGTTAGGAAATTTTATCAGAGTCATGATCAGTTTAAAATAAATATTTCTGAATAAAGTTACAGTAATTACAGCAGAGAGATGACTTTTCAGTAATCTGCAATATAATCTGTTCATAATTATTTCATAGTTCATCTCAATATTTATGTTGTGCTTTTCATAAATTTCATGACCTGAAATCAGATATGAAGAATGAAATGATTATTCATTATAATTGAAAGAGAGCATTTCATGTTAAATTGTAAATAATATAGACTTTGTGATTCACAGTGATTTCTTGAAGAGTTTATGAATCTTCAATAGAAGTAAAAGAAGTGAAAGAAGTGAATTCAGAAGATATGACAAAGATTTGAGAAAGAAAATAATTTATTTTTAATAAAGATAATAACTGATCACTGATGTATGTAAGAAGAATTGTTATAAGAGAAAATAATCTTCTTTCTTAAGTTAGTTATAATTTTAGTACTAACTCAGGTTGAATATTATCAATATATAAAAGTAAATAAGTAATCTTGATTAATCTCTGTCATATTTCTTGAAATATATTAATATTATAAAAGAGAGTATTACTAAATTACATTATCAGATAATATCATTAAAAATATATTAATATTATGAATATCAATGTTGAAAAAATGTTAATACATATATATTATAGTAATTTGTGAATCATGATACTTAAATACATATATATGTATTATTTCTGATATTGAGAATTGATTTCAACTTGTACAATAATTTTTGAAAACTCAAAATTAATTTCAATTATTAACTAATAGTTACAAACTTACAACTAATTAATATAAATAAAAAGAAAAAAACTTTTTCTACTTATTATCTTTCTTCTCTTTCTCATTCTTCTCATCATTCTTTATAATTCACTTCTTATTCTCATTCTTCTTCTCCTTCTTCTCATCTGAGATGATAATTATCTTAAAATCTCTCTTCACTGTCTTCTCAGAGAAGAGTTCTCACTGCTTTCTCTCAGTCAGATTAATCTACATCTCAAAATCCTGCATTTTCTGATCTGCTGTCTCAGGTTTCATCTTAGTAGTAAGAAGATTGATATACTCAGAGAGTAGAACTGTCTTCTCAATATTCTGAATCATGAAGTGTATTCAAGATCTGAACAAGATCTTAATTCTCTTCTTCTCTATCAGCTTCTGCTAATCAATTAAAGAACAGAAGTGATATTAAAACTCATTATCTATTAATAAAACACTTATCAATTTTAACTTCTTTATCTCTTACTTAAACACTCTCTTAATCTTCTTCTATTATTACTTATTTACAGTAACACTCTCCTTCTCTCTCTCTCTTCTCATCTTAGTCTTAAATTATTCTCAAAACTTCTTCTGATTTCATTACTACTGTATAAGACTCTTCACTGTCTTCTTTTTCAATCTCTTACAGACAGTATTATCTGTATTATTTCTATACTTAGCTCAGGCTAAATCTATCAGAAGTGTTACTTAAAATTATTATTATTCTACTCTTTTACAGAGTCTCTTTAAGATATTATAATATATCTTACAATCTGTCTTCTCTCATTTAAACATCTTCTTCTTCTCTTTCTTCAATCTGTGATAGTACTCATGCAACTTGATGATCTGCAGAACTGCAGAATATTTAAAGAGAGATGACATAATTAATTTTAATAAGTGTTGAGAGAGAGTGAAAATAGAAAAGACAGCTAGTAATACTATAATAATAATGACGATAATGATAATGATAATAATAATAATGATAATAATGATGATGATCATAATAAAAGAAAGAGTGCAGTGAAATATATTATTAACTTATCAAAGATAAAGACACTTAAAAAAAATATTAACAGCTTTCAGAGATGTACAGAAACAGCTACAGTGTTGTATAGTAATATTATCTTCATTTAATACATACACAATTGATATTCTTTATATGCAGTTATTATATAATCTATATCAGAGATATATTCAGAAAACAGATCTTTATTACTAGAGAGAATAATTACAGTAATTCTCTGTTTTTATATTATAAAGATAAGTTGTTTGTATTTCTTTCTTCTCTCTTTTCTCTTCTTATTCAATTCATTACTAATTTCAAGCTGGTATGAAAACTATTAAAACTCTCTTAAAAACCCTCAAATTGAAGAGTATAGACTAATCAAATTTAAAATACAGAAGAATTAAATTACATTCAATAATACTAATTATTTATCTTCTCTTAATAAAATAATAGTCTCATCTTCTTCTTTCTTCTTTCAAATGAAACATAGTCTGTAAAAAGCAAATATTATGTCAGATTATAATGACTAACACAGTCTCAGCATGCAGAGCTGCATACACACAGTGCATACTGAACTGAGAGACTGTATGAATTGTAAACTGACAGCAGCATCTTAAGAAGAGTCATGCAGTGTGAAAAAGTCACAACTCTTAGTTATATACACAGAGAGTGAATCATCATAGTAAGTGTATATGTATTACATGAAAGTAATACTTTTTAATAATACTCAGTCTCTGATATTATAAAAATAGAGTCTCTTCATAAGATTCATGTTTATTAGAAGTTGAGAAATCTTATATTTCTTCAGATTATCTTTATATGCCTTATCTGTGAAATTAATGAAGAAAATCATAAATTTCAGTATTCTGCTCTTAATGTTATTCAAGTGACAGCAGAGTGCACTCTGATCATACTTTTTAAGTGTATATTTTCTAATTATTCACATTTATACAGATATATACTGATGATTTATTAGATAGTATTAAGATAATAACTCATTACAGCTATGTTACTCTCACTGTGAGAGAGACACAGTTGATAATAAACATTGTGAAGAGTCTGAGAAGTGAGTATTTTAAGAGTACTACAGCTCTGCTATCTTGATTTTTATTGTTTTTTTTTTCTTTTGTTTTCATTGTGATTTTTTCTTGTTTTTATTTTATTTTTTGTTTTTTTGTTGTTTTTTTGTATTTTATATTTTTTTATAATTAAAATTATATGAATTATAATCTGTGTTCAGAAAACTAATAATATTTGATAACACTCTCTATTGAATTTTCAACAAATAAGTACTATGTTATGATATTATGTAAGTGAGAAATGATTTCATAATCTCATTTAATACTATTCTCAATAATGAGATCAGAATGAAAATGTGACTAAGAATTCAAATATATTCTTTATCTGAGACTAGATTTTTATTTGAAAAGTAAATCTGAGACCTTTAAAATTTAAAATAACATGATTTGAAATTAATGTAATGAATACAAATTATGATCAGAAGTAATACTTTTAGACAATATAATAACTGTAAAGTTCGATTCTGATCTCAGATATGATTACACAGTCAGTCTATCTAAAGCTCAGTCACAGACACTGATTATTACATTTATTTTAAGTATTTATGATAAGATAATCATGTATTTATATCAGAGAATTACTTCTCTCTTCAATGATGATAAGAGTGTAAGTCTTTTCTTTTTCATCTTCTCTTCTAATGCTAATTTTTCTAGAGGAAATCATTATGAATTTTATCATATATAAAGTCATGATATTCATGAACATTAAGAAACTTTTTACAATTATTAAATTCAATATTACAGATATATTCACTCTGATAAATATCTTCAGAATGATTAACTCATATGAGTCTATTCTCTAGCATTTATTATCTGACTTCATGACGCAGGTGAAGAATATTCATATTTTCAGAAATAAGATCATAGACATTATACTCCTTTCTACTCACAGATGTAAGACTCATACATCTTGTCTGAGATGTCATTATGAAAATGAGTTATTTATACAATGTGTTCTACTTTCTATATTTCTCTGTGTTTCTCCTTCTCTTTCTGAGAAGTCTTGTATGTGTTGTAATTGCATATACAACTCTAACATCAGCAGCTGTTCTTTCAGTGACTATTTTCATCTCTGATTTTACAGTTTTATATACTAATAATGATTCTTAGTTACTTCAGTATTAGAGATCATTTTAATCTCTGAAGAGAATAATATCACTGAGACTACTCTCTTTTATTCTTAAGCTTCTTTCATTATTTTCTCTCTCTCTTCTGTGAAGAAGATTGTGTGTATATTAAGTTATAAGTATTCAGTCTTAAGTGACTTCTGCTATTATTTATCTGATTCTGTACTTTCTTCTTCTTTTATTTCTTTCATCTCTGCTTTCTCTGTGCTAACTTCTAGTTCTGCAGGTTCTGCACTCTTCTTCAATTTTTCTACATGCATGCATACACATTTCTGTATTAGTATTTCAGTCAATCTTGTGATAAATGATATTAATGTTATGCACAGAGTGATAGAGAAATTGAAGACATGTATAGCATTATTATAAAAGTGACTTACAGCTCTCAAATCTTTTACAGATCTTGAGTTGTAAGATTTTCTTTGTTTTTGACATTTTTCAGATAATATGATGTTGAAAATAGATTAATATGTAATGTATGAAAATGAATAAAGTGTATATAATAATATTTATCTTTTTACAGTCAACTCTTATAATTGATAATTAATTCATTATTTCTTCTTTTTTCTTATGCTTTTTCTTTGTCTGCTAGTCACTACTCTCATATAATCTCTATATAGTATAGTATTCAGTGACTAGATTTAATGACTTTCATCTTTTGTAATTCTGTTTTATGTATTATACTGTCTCTCTTCACTCACTTAGACTACTATAGAAAATAACTTATTAAAACTAATCTCATCTGATCTCTGAGTGTTCTCAGAGATTAAGATAACTTAATTCTACATATTCACAGATGTTTCAGATGCTTTATTCTCTGTTATCTTCACAATTGAATTGATATAAACAGTTAAATTCAACTCTGAATTTGATTTTCTTCTATGATCTGACTTATATACAAGTCTACTGCTTTGAGACTGCTCTTTATCACATTGCACTCACTATCTGCTGTATATTATAATATGATCAGCTACAGTCTTATCACTTATTAAAGTGTGATATTTATCTGATTTCTTCATTGCTTCTCATTCTTTTCTTATAATTATGAAAAGATCAGAATAAGTGAGATTATCTAATTCATAAGTGTCTATGATTTCTCTTACTTTGTAAGACTTTTCAATTATAAGTCTCTTCTTTTTCAACACTGATAATAGTGCTGTGAATAATTATAATTCACTTAAGTCTTACATCTTCATCTTTATAAGATGTGAATTATTTATTAAGGTGTATAAGACTCATCTCTCTGATTCTTTCAATGTGTATATTCTCAGAGAATGTGATTTAAGTATTCTATAGAGCTCAAATCATCTAGATTGAAACTTCTCAACACTCTCATTATGTATAAGAACTTATATTCTCATCTTGAGACTTGATTTCTTAACTAGTGAGTCTCATATTCTTTTTGATTGAATTGCTTAGTTCAGGAGTAACTGATTAGCTTTTACACATGCATGGCTGATCTCTTTCAATCTTGATTTCATGTTCATAACTACTGTATTCATAACCACTGTTACTGTTGTATCTACAACTGCTGTTCTCTCTCTCATCTTTTTCAAAGCATTCTTCAGAATGCATGAATGCAATTCATACAATAGATAAAATAATAAATACTTAAAGACTGCACGTTTCTGAATTCATGTGATTAATAGTGTCTGTTTAAGATATTCATTTCATAGTCTTGTAGACTTACTCACTAGATATTTCATCAGCATGTTGCTCAAGATTTCATTCAAGTGTTTCATCTTTTCATTTGTCCGCGGGTGATATGACATTATTCAATGATATCTTATCTGTAACTGACTTATAAAATGCCTTATCACTTCTTCTACAAGATTCACATCATTATCAGTTAGAATCTTACATAGCATTTCATAGTTAATATAGATCTCATTATATAGAAACTTTATCAGCATCTTCTCTATCATCTCTGAAACTGCTTTTACAACTAATGAGTCAGTTGTATAGTCAATAGCAGTAATTATTCAACAATTTTCATTTGATATTCACAGCAGTATGTCTATGAGGTTCATCTCTTATTATTTAAATAATTGTATCATACTTCTCATCTGATGTTATACTTTCTCACATTCTAATCCTTTCTTAGATTCTTTCACAATCTGATAATTCAGATACTTATGAGTATATATCTGAATGTCCTCAGTCATACTTGATCAGTATACTCTTGATTTAAGTATACTCATGAGTTCAGAGCTTTCTAAGTGATTGAATTCCTTATACATGTAAGTTATCAAGTTATGTCTAAATAAATATTCTAGATAGAGAGCTTTTATATATTCTAGATTATAGTAAAGTATAACATTATTTTTCAATTTTCTCAGCTTAAAGTTCAGAAGCATCTCTTCTACTACTTTTATAAGATACTTATCATTCAATATCTTATCATTCTTCAAATGAGAGAGCATTGTATTCACTCATTCTGATTTCTTACATCTTCTCAGTATATTTAATGTAAACTTTTCTTATATCTGATTCACAGAACTCTTACTTATAAAATTGAGTCTGTGACTGATTGCATTAGATATCACAGTGTTTAATTTCTTTCAGTATTTAATATAAAGATTATATGCTTGAAACTCTGAGATTTAATATACTAAGTATTTGAAGAGTTTCATTATTAATTATAGATAGACAAGACTTTTATGATCTGTGATCACTGTTATTATATATCTGTTATTAATATATCTATTTTATGATATCACTACATGCTTGATTGCTAGCAATTTCTTTTCATACACTGAGTAATTGAGTTCAGTGTCTGATAGTTTTCTATTATTATATATCACTGAGTGCAGCTTGTTGTTCTTACTCATCTGTAGAAGAGTGTCTCTGATAGCTCATTCAGATATATCTATCTTGATATAGAAAGATTTATCACAATCTGATTGAATAAGTACTGAGAATGTTATTATATGTTTTCTCAGTGTAAGAAAGACCTCTTCATACACAGTATTTGAGATAATTAAATAAAGCTTCTTCTTCCACAGATTGATATTCATTTCTCTTAAGAGATCTAAGAGTGATGCAGCTATTCATACAAAATTCTTAATGAATATGTGATAATATGAGATAAACTCAAGAAACTGTTGTATATAATATATGTTTCTTCATCACAGTCAATTCACTATAACATTTAATTTCTTCAGAATGAAGTGTATACAGTCATTACTCATCACATATTCTACAGACTTCAACTCTTCTATTCTAAACACACACTTTATTAATTTGATATAGAGCTTATACTCTGTCAGAGTTATAAGCACTTTATTAAGATACTTTATATATTTATTGTATAAGTTTGAGAAGACTAGAATATCATTCAGATATATAAGATATGAGATTTCATTTAATTTATAAAGAATTGTATTCATCATTATTTAAAAGATGACAGGCACATTTATCAAACTGAATAGTATTATCAGAAATTTGAACTTCTTTTATTATATATTAAACACAGTTCACAGTACTGACAGTTTATCTATACAGATCTGTCAGTATTCTGAGAGATGATTACTCTTTAATAAATATCAGACATTATCAACTGTATCTAACTGTTATTAAATCTATTATAATGAGTATTCATTCTTGATCATGAGCTTGTTAAATGCTTGATAATTAATACACATTCATTACTTCTCATTCATCTTTTTCATCAATAGAACTGAGAAGTCTCACACACTTTATGAGAGTTATATAAGACTATGTTCTAGAAGGTTCATGATCTGATACTTCTGTTCTTCAAGATACATTTGCAATAGAGAATACATACTCTGATTAACTGATTTCACATTCTCTGTGTCAATCTCATATATAAATCCTTGTTTCAGCA